CCAGGTACACCTGCATGTAATTTATCGACTTCATTAATATGCTCACACTTGGAGACTCGGATACATAGAGTTAGGACCACACTTTGCATAGGTGCCTTGGCGCGGCAGTGTGGCTTCTACATATTTTTGGCCAAAAGTTTGTGCAACTAAAACCTCTGATTTTAACGCATACTGTTGACAGGGCTATTTGTTTGGTTGCAGGCTGGCTGGCAGGTTGAGGCTGGGGAATTTTTGTGTTTTGTATTGTTGTAAGCCTTCCCAATGTGCGCCCTGCTATAAAGGCTGGTTATAGATTCATGCATGTACCATTTTTTCTAGTTTGACTATTTTGGGTTAGGGGGACGCACTGGAGTCCCAGCGTGCATTTTTGGTTGCTGGGCCTCCAGTGCGTCCCTGCACCTTATTAGGAGGAGTTGGCTACCTCCAGGTACACCTGCATGTAATTTATCAACTTCATTAATATGCTCACACTTGGAGACTCGGATACATAGAGTTAGGACCACACTTTGCAGAGGTGCCTTGGTGCGGCAGTGTGGCTTCTACATATTTTTGGCCAAAAGTTTGTGCAACTAAACCTCTGATTTTAACGCATACTGTTGACAGGGCTACTTGTTTGGTTGCAGGCTGACTGGCAGGTTGAGGCTGGGGAATTTTTGTGTTTTGTATTGTTGTAAGCCTTCCCAATGTGCGCCCTGCTATAAAGGCCGGTTATAGATTCATGCATGTACCATTTTTTCTAGTTTGACTATTTTGGGTTAGGGGGACGCACTGGAGTCCCAGCGTGCATTTTTGGTTGCTGGGCCTCCAGTGCGTCCCTGCACCTTATTAGGAGGAGTTGGCTACCTCCAGGTACACCTGCATGTAATTTATCAACTTCATTAATATGCTCACACTTGGAGACTCGGATACATAGAGTTAGGACCACACTTTGCAGAGGTGCCTTGGCGCGGCAGTGTGGCTTCTACATATTTTTGGCCAAAAGTTTGTGCAACTAAAACCTCTGATTTTAACGCATACTGTTGACAGGGCTATTTGTTTGGTTGCAGGCTGGCTGGCAGGTTGAGGCTGGGGAATTTTTGTGTTTTGTATTGTTGTAAGCCTTCCCAATGTGCGCCCTGCTATAAAGGCTGATTATAGATTCATGCATGTACCATCTTTTCTAGTTGGGCAGTCTGCGTATGCGCAATAGCAGGCTGAGGGCCAATCACGTGGGCCCTGTACACACAGGAGACGTGGGCAGATCCCGGAGAGTGGTGTCTGTCCAGCAGGCCGAGGGACTGGTACAGTAATGACTGCTGCTAAGGCTCTATGTGAGGGGAATGAGGTGCCTGCAGGGTGGGGTTCGTGTCACCATATTGTCAGATCTGTTTGGCCGGCCTTGATGCCAATTGGCAGGGAAGCCGGCTTCTCGGGCAATCGAGAAGCCGAGCGGTGGGCAATGACACGCCGCCTGGCTTCCTGAATGCCCAGGAAGCCGGCTGTATGCTACCGTAAGTATCGGCGAGTACCAAAATATAAATAAAATATATCGGTACTCTTACTCGATACCAAAAAGCCGGTATCGGTGCATCCCTAAATCGAAACAAATGTAAGATTACTGGATTAAGAAAGACAAAAAAAAAAAACAACTTACAGAAGATTTTATGTCCTTGGCTCGGTTGGCATACTTGAGTGTGTTGTATGTATCATCATAGGACAGTGAAGAAGGACTAACAGCCGCAATCATGATGGTGCGACAATTCCCTCCTAAGGAATCCTTTAGCAGCCGTGTGAGTTTGCTGTTTCGGTAAGGTATATGCTGTTTCTTTGTCTAAAGGAAACAAAAATGGTAATACTAACATATGGTTTTGCAAACCGCACATGGTAGTTTCCTGAACATAAAGATTTAAGCTAAACTTCAGGCAGATATAAAAAACATTAATGCAGCTCTGTAATCATTAATAAATCATTTCATAAATATAGTGTAAATACCTGAATTTGTCTCAATTTCCACCTCTTGTAATCTCCTGTACAGTACAGCTCAAACTGCAAAAGTGCTAGGAGCCAAATCAGGCAAGTTGCATGCAAATATGCTGACAAGGAACATACTGATAGGAAGAGAGAGCAGACTTTGCAGAACGAGAGGACCTCATCAATCTGCTTCTGCTCTGTGGCTATCCAATTGGCAGGGCATTGTTTGTAGTGTGTTTCCTCATTCTAACAGAAAGTAGTGTCATCTGCCTGACTGTTTTGTGGCAGAGCTGTCTAAATATCAGGACTGAATGGATAAAAATGCAAATCCGTTTGTAGGTAAAAACAGCTCCCTAATATGAATTCCATCTGTGAATTTAGCCATTTGCCTGGAGCTTTAACATCCATCATATACTGGTAGTAGTTGTGCAAGAATTGTGCTTGCCCCATACCACATAAATGTTTTTTGGCGAAAACAAGAAAACTACCCAATTAGTTGCTAAAATTAGTTTCAAACCAATTTGCACTTCTGCTTGAAATCTTTAAAACACTTTAACAACAGCTGCTCTTGAAGATGTAACAAATTATGCTGTTTTGCTGATACTCGCTCCATGGCTCCGAGCACCAACATTCATCCCACGTTCAAAGGCTGTTACATCGCTTTGTTTACCAATATCTTCAGAAAAAAAATCACTTCTACTGTCGTGGTAAACAACCTGCTTCCCTATTTATAATGGTCTGGCCCTCTAGCAACTTCAGCACGAAATTATAGCTAATTTGACTACAGACGTCAGGTGGTCATAATCTGGCCACTCAGTGTATATATCCTTTAATCAAGGTGTCAAAAAACAACCTATCCCCAACCCCAAACGTATAAATTGCCTAAAATTTATCAACCACATTTAAGATACCGTCAAAAAGAGAGGTTTATAGGAAATGTACGTAGATGGAGAGACCCTCCGCACTCCTCACAGCAGTCCCGGCCAGATATGAAAAAAGTGGTGCTCGCAGTGATGAGATACCACGGATGGCGCCGTGCAATCACAGGAAAGTCAGGAAATCACCAGCACTCAGTAGTAAAGATAAATATGTCCCTTTTATTGGACAGAAAGCATCACAGACATCCAAATAAACCGACGTTTCGGGACGGCGCAGAGTCCGTTCCTCAAGGCAGAAAGATGTGATGTGATGTGGTAACATCACATCTCTCTGCCTTGAGGAAGGGACCCTGCACGGTCCCGAAATGTCGGTTTATTTGGATGTCTGACGCTTTCTATCCAATAAAAAGGGACATATTTATCTTTACTACTGAGTGCTGGTGATTTCCTGACTTTCCTGCCTTTATAGGTAATGCTTATGGGATGGTGCCAAATCTAAAAGGTGGTCTTCAGCACTGTGATGTTGATTTACAGTACAATATGCAGGCTGAAGGTTGGCACGTAATGCAGGAAAATACGATATTGAAAAAGCGCTTCCCTAGATTGGCAACCAAAAGGCGAATAACATGTAAGAAAAAACAGGAAAACATTTTGGCAGGCAAAATGATTCACATGTATACATGCTTGTATCAGTGCCGAAACCGAGCATTTGGGCGAGTATTTGTACTTGCCCAAATGCTCCGATGCCTTCCCCGATACTGGAACTTCCGGTCAGAGGAAAATTTCCTCTGTCTGGCAGTGCCATAGGGGAACATGGAGCTGGCTTCCTGGCCAATCAGGATTGGCCGGGAAGCCGGCTCCATGCCGATTGGCTGGGAAGCCGGCTTCCCAGCCGAACAGCCGGCTCGATGCTGATTGGCCGGGGAGCCAGCTTTTCAGCCAATCAGGAAGCCTGGAGGCGGGTCATTACTAGCGCCCGGCTTCCTGGTTGGCTGGAAAACCGGCTTGATGCTGATTGGCCGGGTAATTGGCTTCCCAGCCAAATAACATGGCTCCCTGAGAAATCAGGAAACCAAGCAGCATGTCATTACATGCCGCCCGGCTTCCTGAGTGCCTGGGAAGCCGACTCCATGCCAGCGGAAGTACCGGTACAGACGAGTACCAAAAGCAAAATATCTGTCTGAAAAAACAGTATCGGTGCATCCCCAAAATAAGGCCCAAGTGTTACAGTTAATTACCTAGTTTGTGTATTTTAAAAGAAAAATGTATGTGCTGTAAGGTTCACTTTAACACAATTGTATGTTTAAGGACAATGTTAAGCAGTGTGCCTGGAGCCATCTTGGTTCTGTGTTGAGTATACACTTTGATGTAACAAATCTTCGGACTTCTGCAGATGACCAAGACAACAAAAACCTTGAACATTTTAAACTAAAACAGTATTTCATTTATACAAGTGTGAATTAACAGTGTCAAAAGTGATACCATAAGTATAGTCCCAACATGCACAGCAGATCTTCAAAATCAGGAACGAGAGTTTCCTGTAAGATTTTCTCTAGTGCCTGTACTTTACACCGAGGATAAACTGAAGGGGAAAAAGCCTGTGCTTACAGAACAGCCTACATAAGTATGCCGTTTATTAATCTGATTTTAAACACATGTTCCCTAATGAATTGCATACATTTAATGCGTTTCACATGTGGGCCAGATCTAAAACCTAAAAAAAAAAAAAATCTTTCCTGTTAAGAATTGGTTGTGTTGCCAGGTTAAAAAAAAAAATATCAGCATTTTAGCTGCAACAGAGCATCTAAAAATCTATAGTAGAATTTAAATATGATGTAATTTATCTAATGTGAATGGATTTAAGATTCACAGAGAAAAGACGACTACACAAGGTCGCTTACCAAAAGTTATGTAAGTTTTTTCCCAAATATAGGACTCCAAGCAGTGGTGTACATTTGTAACCTGCCTACAACTTAAATTAAACTGAATGCAATAATTAGCTCGTTTGACCCTTTCTTTGTTTACATTTCTTATGCACTGTTTGAAACGGTCATTCCATAGATCACATCCATTTGTTCTGTTACTAATAAAGTGCATGTAATTGAAATAAATATTTGTATTAACCCAAGACATGGGGCTACTACCGCACTGCAAGGGTTAAGTGCTTATTTTTGTAGAGGTGCAAACCCAAAAATTATGGCAGGTTGACATTACAAAGAGACAGTGGGGGGAATCCTAAAAACTGGAGCAAATAGAATCTAGAGCAGTTGTCTATGGCAACCAACCAATCAGCATCTTTTTTTTTGTAATCGTGTAAATCTTTATTGCGTTTTACAAAATACAATATATAATGCAACTTGTGAAAGACGAAATATGTCATGCATATTGGTATACAATCAGGTTGCCATCCGGCCACCTAAGTATTATTGTCTTTGAAATACCATATCAGATACAACAAATCAAACAATGAAAGCAGATATTCTGCAAATATGTGACCTTACAGTGTCAAATCACTAGTTGAAATCATATTGACAAGAGAACCTAGTTTTGGAAGGAGCGAGAAGGAATGGATATAAGTGGAGGGTACCCCCATGGTGTGTGCAGTGTCATTGAGGATGATCTTCATGAGAGAGGGTCATGATATGATATAAGGGCTGGAATGGCAGAGATAGTGAGGGAGGTGGGGATGGTGGAAAGGGGTGTGCTTTAGTTATATATACACTGAGATGTGCCCACAACTATGTATGTTAATTAGCTGTAGGCACGGAGGTTGGAAAAGCAATGCAATAGGTGTATTCTGTCACTTGGGAAGATACCGGAAAATGAACGTGAAAGATACGACGTTCGATGAGGGGGGTAGTTCCTTCAGTTGGCTACCCCTCCGAACATCCCTAGATATACAGCATATCAAATAATCAGCATCTTTTTCAGTTAAGCTTAGAAAATGAAAGACGTTGATGGGCAACTGCTCCAAATTCTGGCTGCTCCAGTTTTTATTAATGCCCCCCCCAGTATCTGCACGCCGTGGGGAGACTCAACCCACAAGACTTCACTTAGCACTGAAATATAACCAGGGCTTGAAAAATCAGCTCGTTCTCTCGACTGCGACGAGAGGACGCCGAATCCGGACGAGTAGCTTCCTGGTCGGCCGTTGTAATTAAAAGGCCGGCCGGGAGCTTTACATTCAAGTGATCGAGCGTGTCTTGAGACGCCCGATCGCTTGTATTGTATTTAAAAAAAAAAAAAAAGTTTTTTAACATTATGTTATAAAACAACTAATATTACCCACTTTTTTGGTAAAATATAAAAGACTGGGTCATGTCGGGTAAATAGACAACAAACATGTCAAGCTTAAAAATTGCGCACACTCGCGAAATCGCAAAAAACTAGCATACCCAAAATTGGCCATAGGCAACGCTTCAAACGCTTTTACAGCTCATCAGTTTAGTGTTATCAGTGATTGATGGCCCTAGAACTATTGCTCTCATTCCGACGTTCGCGGCGATATGTAACAAGTGCGTCGTTTTCGCAGGTATGCGCACCTGACGCATGTTTACATGCGTGTATGTAGGGGTGGGGACTTTAAAAAAAAATTGTTTTTTTTAAATTCTTTTTTATGTGTAACTTTTAAAAAATTGGGGGGGAAACTTTAAAAAAAAATTCTATTTTTTTTTCCACTTAACTTTATTGCTATCACAGAGGGGGCTGAGAAACCCCTCTATGTGATCGCAAAAGAGGTGACAGGTCCTCTTTATGGAGACATCAGGGGTCTCCAAGAGCCCTAATGTCACCTAGGACCCCCCTGAAGAAGCAGAGATCTGCTTCATCAGCTTCTCTCCAGCATCTGAAGCTGGAGAGTGACACAAGAATGCGGAAGTGATGTAATATACACCACTTCCGCATTCTGACAGCGGAGAGGGGACCGGAGGGAGATCGTGAACCGACCTCCCTCTGATCCCCTGTGACAAAGGCAGTATGCTGG